CACACCCACACCCCAGTCACACCCACACCCCAGTCACACCCACACCCTTTCTCCAAAAGAACATCTAGAACTTGGTATTTTGGATCGTTAAAACGCACATCGGAAGAAATGGGCCTTTACACGCAATTAAAGTAACCACTTCGAGCGTTTATGAGGCCAGATATAATAGCAAGTGAATATTTGCCTATTTTCGCGCTTTGAAAAGCAAAATTACCGGCGTTTACACGGCCATTTTGAAAAAAACGCCAAAAAAGGCTAATTTTATGGCGTTTAAACGCGTTTTCCAAAAATCTTGTCTGACTGGGAATATGCAAAAACGTCGTGCACATGAACTACGAGGAAAACTTACCGGCATATTCGGCTAAATTCCACTTCAAGAGGTTGACGTCCACCACAATATGCAACAAAACTAAACTGTATGCAAATTCCATTGTATACATAACAGAACATTCTACCATATATAAACCTGTATATAGATCATAGAAATTATGAACTACAATATTCTAAAAAAAACTTTTCAAAAAACAGGTACAACCTTTTCTTTCATTTCAGATGTCACTCACACATCGCTATCTACATCGATATTATTCAAAATCCGAAACAAGCTAAAAAATAACTAATGGACACACAGAATACATCCCATCGCCCACCGACTACAGTAACATCGAAATAATCTAAGTTATCATGGTAACTATACACATCCACTATTATTATTGATGTATCTACTAACAATTTCAACTTAGTAGATTTGAAGTGTTATGTATTGATTTAAACTTATTTTTTTCAAGTTTAGATCTTTTATACTAGTACTTAGACCACTTGATAAGATTGAGTTATTGACATCAAAATAATCTAGGTTACCATGGCAACTATACACACCCACACCTTTATATGCAGAGCCCTGATGAGTGTTTTTATTTTCAAATAAATGATACGAAACGCCTCAGCTAAACTTAATTCTGCACTTATCCTTAATTATTAATTTAATAAGCATATCTATTTTCAATTAATTTCGACAAAACAATCGATTGCTGAAAAGCAAAAGTTGAGAAGAGCAGATTGATTTGTGTCTTAGATATACAAACTGATCTGTTTTAAATTAAAAAGCAATTGATGAGTTTAACTTGAGCACCTATCGAAACAGGTCATCCTAGCTAATTCATTATATTTTCAAATTATAATATAAATCCACCCACTTGTTGGAAGATCTCTTCAAAAATTTGTTGGATACTTGGTCTTACACAAAGTTACCTGATAATATGTCAATGTGATTGTTTATTCCCTTAAACGTTTTCCTAAAAAAACTTCTGACTATAGCATTCGTAGCAGAAGAGTTATTATCCATAACATCTTAGAATCAAAATGTAACTTGTAAATTCAACTTGAGCACTTATCGAAACTGGTCTTGTTAGCTAATTGATTATACTTTCAAATTATAATATAAATACTCCTACACCCATACCCACAGCAAAGATAGTTAATATAGATCACATCTTCCACTCAAAAGCAATTGATAAGTTTAAATTCAGCACTTATCGAAACCGATCTTACGAGCTTTTCATTGAATTTCTTTAACCCATTTCTACATACAAACTCACACCCACACCCACGTAAATTAAACCCGCATTATTGTTTATTTCATTCAATTTAATTCAAGCACGTTATTTTCAAATAAAATATTATTTAGGCTTAATCACTTGCTCAAACGTGAAAACTGCGAGTAACAAATTAATTTCTATTATTTAAAACTGCAGATTGATTAGTTTACAATAAATTATTACACCCGCTTCTGTATACAATGTTCAGTGTTCGTCACAAACACGAGTGATCCGCGTTCGATTGAACCACAATGCCCGTGTCACTGCTTCAGCCCCTTCGTCAGATATTTCATTCTCGCGAAAATCAAGAGTAGTAAGAGTTTGATTGACTTTCAACGCATCAGCGAGTGATTTAGCTCCTTCGTTAGATATTTTATTCCATTGAAGATCAAGAGTGGTAAGAGTTTGATTGACTTTCAATGCATCAGCGAGTGATTTAGCTCCTTCGTCAGATATTCCATTGCCCTGAAGATGAAGAGTAGTAAGAGTTTGATTGAGTTTCAATGCATCAGCGAGTGATTTAGCTCCTTCGTCAGATATTTGATTCCGTTTAAGATCAAGAATAGTAAGAGTTTGATTGACTTTCAATGCATCAGCGAGTGATTTAGCTCCGTCGTCAGATATTTCATTGTTGAAAAGATGAAGAGTAGTAAGAGTTTCATTGACTTTCAATGCATCAGCGAGTGATTTAGCTCCTTCGTCAGATATTTCATTGCTCTGAAGATCAAGAGTAGTAAGAGTTTCATTGACTTTCAATACATCAGCAAGCACTTTCATTGTATAGTCCAATAATACGTTTCCCTTAAGGAAAAACATCATAACACTTTGATTGACTTTCAATGCATCAGCGAGTGCTTCAGCTCCTTCATCAGATATTTTATTTCCGTGAAGATCAAGAGTAGTAAGAGTTTGATTGACTTTCAATGTATCAGCGAGTGATTTAGCTCCTTCGTCAGATATTTTATTCCATTGAAGATCAAGAGTGGTAAGAGTTTGATTGACTTTCAATGCATCAGCGAGTGCTTCAGCTCCTTCATCAGATATTTTATTGCCGTGAAGATCAAGAGTAGTAAGAGTTTGATTGACTTTCAATGTATCAGCGAGTGATTTAGCTCCTTCGGCAGATATTCCATTGCCCTGAAGATGAAGAGTAGTAAGAGTTTGATTGACTCTCAATGCATCAGCGAGTGATTTAGCTCCTTCGTCAGATATTTCATCGTTGAAAAGATGAAGAGTAGTAAGAGTTTGATTGAGTTTCAATGCATCAGCGAGTGATTTCGCTCCTTCGGCAGATATTTCATTGCTCTGAAGATCAAGAGTAGTAAGAGTTTCATTGACTTTCAATGCATCAGCGAGTGATTTAGCTCCTTCGTCAGATATTTCATTGCCCTGAAGATGAAGAGTAGTAAGAGTTTGATTGGCTTTCAATGCATCAGCGAGTGATTTAGCTCCTTCGTCAGATATTTGATTCCGTTTAAGATCAAGAATAGTAAGAGTTTGATTGAGTTTCAATTCATCAGCGAGTGATTTAGCTCCTTCGTCAGATATTTCATTGTGGTGAAGATTAAGAGTAGTAAGAGTTTGATTGACTTTCAATGCATCACCGAGTGATTTAGCTCCTTCGGCAGATATTTGATTCGATTGAAGATGAAGAGTAGTAAGAGTTTGATTGACTTTCAATGCATCAGCGAGTGATTTAGCTCCTTCGTCAGATATTCTACTGTCGTGAAGATCAAGAGTAGTAAGAGTTTGATTGAGTTTCAATGCATCAGCGAGTGATTTAGCTCCTTCGTCAGATATTTCATTGTCGTGAAGATTAAGAGTAGTAAGAGTTTGATTGACTTTCAATGCATCACCGAGTGATTTAGCTCCTTCGGCAGATATTTGATTCCATTGAAGATGAAGAGTAGTAAGAGTTTGATTGAGTTTCAATGCATCAGCGAGTGATTTAGCTCCTTCGTCAGATATTCTAGTGTCGTGAAGGTCAAGAGTAGTAAGAGTTTGATTGAGTTTCAATGCATCAGCGAGTAATTTAGCTCCTTCGGCAGATATTTTATTGTTGTGAAGATCAAGAGTAGTAAGAGTTTGATTGACTTTCAATGCATCAGCGAGTGATTTAGCTCCTTCGTCAGATATTCTGTTGTTGTAAAGACGAAGAGTAGTAAGAGTTTGATTGACTTTCAATGCATCAGCGAGTGATTTAGCTCCTTCGGCAGATATTCTGTTGTTGTAAAGATGAAGAGTAGTAAGAGTTTGATTGAGTTTCAATGCATCAGCGAGTGATTTAGCTCCTTCGGCAGATATTCTAGTGTCGTGAAGATCAAGAGTAGTAAGAGTTTGATTGAGTTTCAATGCATCAGCGAGTGATTTAGCTCCTTCGTCAGATATTTTATTGTTCAGAAGATCAAGAGTAGTAAGAGTTTGATTGACTTTCAATGCATCAGCGAGTGATTTAGCTCCTTCGTCAGATATTTCATTGTCGTGAAGATTAAGAGTAGTAAGAGTTTGATTGACTTTCAATGCATCACCGAGTGCTTTAGCTCCTTCGGCAGATATTTGATTCCATTGAAGATGAAGAGTAGTAAGAGTTTGATTGACTTTCAATGCATCAGCGAGTGATGTAGCTCCTTCGTCAGATATTTCATTCTCGGTAAGATCAAGAGTAGTAAGAGTTTGATTGACTTTCAATGCATCAGCGAGTGATTTAGCTCCTTTGGCAGATATTTCATTGCCGTGAAGATTAAGAGAAGTAAGAGTTTGATTGACTTTCAATGCATCAGCGAGTGATTTAGCTCCTTCGTCAGATATTTTATTGTTGTGAAGATCAAGAGTAGTAAGAGTTTGATTGACTTTCAATGCATCAGCGAGTGATTTAGCTCCTTTGGCAGATATTCTGTTGTTGTAAAGATGAAGAGTAGTAAGGGTTTGATTGACTTTCAATGCATCAGCGAGTGATTTAGCTCCTTTGGCAGATATTTTATTGCGGCGAAGATCAAGAGTAGTAAGAGTTTGATTGACTTTCAATGCATGAGCGAGTGATTTAGCTCCTTCGTCAGATATTTTATTGTCGTGAAGATCAAGAGTAGTAAGAGTTTGATTGACTTTCAATACATCAGCGAGTGATTTAGCTCCTTCGTCAGATATTCTAGTGTCGTGAAGATCAAGAGTAGTAAGAGTTTGATTCACTTTCAATACATCAGCGAGTGATTTAGCTCCTTCGGCAGATATTTTATTCTCGCGAAGATTAAGAATAGTAACAGTTTGATTGACTTGTAGTATGTTGGTCAATATTCTTATGTCGATATCATCAAGGTTATTCTGGTTCATCGTCAGTGTGGTAGTAATGTTAATTTTAGGTAGTGTATTTTGGACAGCATTGTTTTTTGGAAGAAGCGTAATATGAATAAGATGTTTTTTGTATGTTTCGTCATATTGAGTGCTTTTGATCTCAAACTTTGTGCCGGCTGGTAGTAGGACTTCTTCTTCGTAAGCGTATTCTGAGTATGGGCTCATATCGAAACCCGTGGAAAATGACCTATCGATGATAAATAAGGTGTTTCCAAATTCGCGAGCAACGTTTTTATTTTTACTGGTTGAAGTGAATGCAAACCAGCATTTCTTTTTGCCAATGGCGTTTTTGTAGTGCTCAATCATAGGTTGATCTAGGGTTGCTCCACGGTAGACTTCAGTATTTGTTTTGTCATGCACTATGTACCACGAATGATACAAGAGATAGCAG